AACCAGCTCTTAGTTTCATTGATCTTTTCTACTGTTATTTCTTTGTCTCTATTTCATTTATTTCTGCTCTAATTTTTATTATTTCCCTCTTTTGCTGACTTTGGGCTTTGTTTGTTCTTCTTTTTCTAAGTTCTGTTTGGTGTAGTTTAAGATTCCTTATTTGAGATTGATCTTGTTTATTAAGGTGGGCCTGTATTGCTATAAATTTCCCTCTTAGGACCACTTTTGTTGCATCCCATATGAGTTGCTGTGGTGTATTTTCATTTTCATTTGTCTCCAGATGTTTTTTGATTCTCCTTTAGTTTCTTCAGTGATCTACTGGTTGTTCAGTAGCATGTTCTTTAGTCTCCACATATTTGTGACTTTCCCAGCTTTTTTCTTGTAGTTGATTTCTAGTTTCCTAGCTTTATGGTCGGAAAGTATGCTTGATAGGATTTCAGTCTTCTTAAATATATTGAGGCTTGCCTTGTTTCCGAACATATGGTCTATCTTTGAGAATGTTCCATGTGCACTTGAGAAGAATGTGTATTCTGCTGTTTTGGGTGGAGTGTTCTATATATAACTATTAAGTTCATCTGGTCTAGTGTTTCGTTTAATTCCACTATTTCCTTGTTGTCTTTCTGTCTTGATGATCTATCCATTGATGTAAGTGGGGTGTTAAGGTCCCCTACTATTATTGTGTTGCTGTTAATATCGTCTTTTAGATTTGTTAATAGTTGCTTTATGTATTTTGGGGCTCCTGTGTTGAATGTATACATATGTATAAGTCATATGTCCTCTTGATGGAATGTCCCTTTTATCATTATATACCACCACTCTTTGTGTCTCATTGCCTTCTTTATCTTGAAATCTACTTTGTCTAATATAAGTATGGCAATGCCTGCTTTATTTTGTTTGGCATTTGCTTGGAGTATCATCTTCCATCCTTTCACTCTGAGCCTGTGTTTGTCTTTAGAGCTGAGATGTGTTCCCTGGAGGCAGCATATTGTTGGGTCTTGTTTTTCAATCCATCCAGCCACTCTGTGTCTTTTGATTGGAAAACTCAATCCATTTACATCTAGAGTTATTATTGATATATGCAGGCTTAATGCTGCCATTTTTTTCACTTGTTTTCCAGTTCTGTATTTTCCTTGTTTCTTATCCCGTGTGTTTCGAACTGCCAGTTCAGTTTGGTAGCTGTGGATGGTGGTTTTCTCATTATTAATCATTTGTGTCTCTTCTGATTGTTTAATGGTTACCGTGAGGTTTGTATAAAAACTCTTGTAGATGAGATAGTCCATTTTCTGATAGCCTCTTACTTGCTTAGTCTAAGCAGGTTCCATCCCTTTTCTCTTCCCCTTGTAAGTTGTTGTTGTCACAACTTACCCTGTTTTGTATTGTGAATTTGTGGTTAAAATGATGAGATTATAGTTATTTTTGATGTTTTCCTTCCCTTTATCTTTAATGTTATAATTGTTTGCTAACCTGTTTTGATAGTGAGCTGTAATGTTCTGATTTTATATGCCTATTTATCTCCTTGCTCAAGGCTTGTAAACCCTTTTTTTTTTTTTTTTTTTCAGGTATGAGGGTCTTCTTGATCATTTCTTCGGGGGGGCGGGGGGGTGGTCTTGTGGCGATGAAGTCCCTCAGCTTTTGTTTACCTGGGAAAGTTTTTATTTCTCCATCGTATCTGAAGGATATTTTTGCTGGATAGAACATTCTTGGCTAAAAGTTTTATCTTTCAGAATTTTGAATATATCATTCCACTCTCTCTTAGCCTGTAAGGTTTCTGCTGAGAAATCCACTGAAAGCCAGATAGGGGTTCCTTTGTAAGTTTTCTTTGCCTTGCTGCCCTTAATACTTTTTCTTTGTCATTGACTTTTGCCAGTTTTACTACTATATGCCTTGGAGAAGGTCTTTTTTGCATTGAGGTAATTAGGAGATCTGTTGACTTCTTTCATTTGTAATTTTAGCTCCTTCCCCAGGTTTAGGAAGTTCTCAGTTATTATTTCTTTGAACAAGCTTTCTGTTCCTTTCTCCATCTCTTCTCCCTCTGGAATAGCTAGAATCCTTATGTTGCATTTCCTAATTGAGTCGGATATTTCTTGGAGAATTTCTTTGTTTCTTTTTAGTCTTAGTTCTCTCTCCTCCTCCATCAGAAATGGTTCTATATTTCTGTCCTCCAAACTGCTAATTCTGTCCTCCCTAATATCAGCTCTTTTATTCAAGGACTCCACATTTTTCTATATTTTATTCATTGTGTTTTTCATCTCTAACATTTCTGATTGGTTTTCCTTTATAGTGTCAATCTCTTTTGCGATGAATTCCCTCTGTTCGTTAATTTTGCTCTGGATTTCTTTGAACTGTCTTTGTGAATTTTCTTGTAACTCATTGAGTTTTTTTATGATAGCTATTTTGAGTTCTCTGTCATTTAGATTGTAAATTTCTGTGCCTTCAGGATTGACTTCTGGGTGCTTTTCATTTTCCATTTCGTCTGGAGCGTTAATGTATTTCTTCATACTGTTTGATGGGGTACATTTGTGCCTTCACATAGTGATAGTATCTGGTCACAGATTCCACCTGCTGCTGGTGTGGGTGGCATCAGGAGTTGTGTATTCTGAGCCTGCCACAATCCCTGGCGTCTGTGTCTGTCCTTTGGTATCTATGCTGACAGGACCCATCTGCGATTGCCTGCTCGCAGATGCTGCTTTACAAATGCATGCACATGTGCTCTGGTGGGGGTCCCTTGCTCTGGCCAACCAGGTGAGCTGGTGTGCCAGGAACAGGGAAGGGTGCTTTCTTTCACATGTGTAATCCCAGCATTCTCGCTATCTGCCCTCCTGGGGTGCTCGCTTGATTTAGACATCCTGTGAAATCGCTTAGCCTCCTCTGTGTGGGGCTTTCCCATGGAGGCAATTTGGAAAGCAAAAGTGTTCCTATGGAGAGCTGCCCCTCCCCCTTCTCCTTTTAGAGCTGCACACAGTCCCCTCCTAGGTCACCTCTCGGGAGGGAGAGGAGATCCCTTTACCTCCTTCTACTTCCTCCTGGTGGGGGTCCAGCTCCTCCACCTTCAGATGTATGGCTGCATGGGTCTCTCAGACGTCTATTCTGTTTGTGAATGTCCTCTGTTGCTTTGTATCTTAGCTGGGAGAATCTAAGGGAAGAGCTCACTATGCCATGATGCTGATGTCACTTATGACAATGGGATTTTAATTTACATTTTCCTAATGAATAATGATGTTGGACTTTTTTTTCCTTATTAACCATCTGTTTATCTTCTTTGCTAAAATATCTATTAACATCTTTTGCTCATTTCTAAATGTATGTGGTGTGTGATGTAAGGGTCTAAATTCACCTTTTCACATGTGGATATCTAATTTTCCTAGAACTATTTGTTGAAAAGGCTATCTTTCCACATTGTACCTTTGTTGAAAATCAGTTGAGTGAGGGAATTTTGGTTCCCTCTCAAGTCGGTTCTGTTGATCTGTATGTCTGTCTTTATATCAGTACCACACTGTCTTGATTACTACAGCCTCATAGAAACCTTTGAAACTAGGTAAGGTAAATACAACTTGCTTCCTTGTCAACATTTTTTTGGCTACTCTAAGTCTTTTGCATAATCTATATAAATTTAGGACCAGCCTGTCAGTTTCTACCCCAAATATCAGCTCAGGTTTTGATAGAGATTGCGTGGAATCTGTACATCCTTTGAGGGAGCATTGGCATCTTAAAACATTGAGTCTTGTAATCCATGCACATGGAATGTCTCTCAGTAGTTTCTCCTCACACTGTCTCGTAGTTTTCAGGGTACAGATTTTGCACATCTTTTGTTAGATTTATCCCCATCTTACCCTTCTTTAGGCCACTGTGAATGGAATCATTTCATTAATTTCATTTTCGTATTCTTTGTTGCTAGTGTATTTTGGTTTTTACCCTGCCATCTTGCTGAACTTGTTTATTGTAGTTTAGGTTTTCTTTGTAAAATGGATTCTATGGTATTTCCTATATACAGGATCACATTATCTGTAAATAAAGACACTTTGGCTTCTTCCTTTCCAATGTGTACCCTAATTTGCATTTCTTCCCCATGCCCTTCTGGGAAAGGCTAAAAGATTCCATGTTCTAAATCTTTTGACTTGGGTGTAAGATCTCATCTGTGGAAGGGAGAGGTGGGTCCAGAAGAAGAGGCTGCTGCTCTCCTGTTCTAGGGGATGTTTCCCATCACATCCTCAGCAAAAATGACATCAAGCTCTTTCCCCAGGCTAGAAGACATGCTCTCTGGACAGCAGACACTGTTAGGCAGGGTCAGCTCCTTCTATTCATATTAGAGCCAGGTGGGTACACTGAGTGGAAAGAAACTCTGGGTGTGAGGAAATAGGAAGTGGGAGAGACTGGCAACCTGGAGTGACTGCTCCCTGTCTACAAGGCAGCCATGACTCTGCTTTGATGGCTGAGTACCCTCAGGTGAGGGTGAGCAGTTTCTCAGGACCTGCAGACCTGCCACAGCCATACCAATCACCAATTAAATATAGAAGAAACTGAGTCACAGAGTCTTTGTAACTTGTCCAAGAGCACACAGCTAATTATGAGCTGTTGCAGGACAGGAACGTACAGCCTGTAGTCCCTGAGATTGTGCTCTTAACCACCTCACTATCTCTAGAATACTGATGGGGTGTTGTGAGCTCTAAATGAAACCACATTCTACGTAGAAGCTGTGTGCTTATTTGCCATCTATGTATCTTTTTTGGGGGTGGGGGTAAAGAAGATTGATCCTGAGCTAACATGTTACCAATCTTCCTGTTTTCGCTTGAGGAAGATTGACCCCAAGCTAAAATCTGTGCCAGTCTTCCTCTATTTTGTATGTGGGAATGCTGCCACAGCATGGCTCAATGAGCAGTGTTTAGGTTTGCACCCAGGATCCAAACCTGTGAACCCTGGGCCACAGAAGCAGAGTTTGCAATCTTAACTATTATGCCACCAGGCCAGCCCCCATCCATGTATCTTCTTTAGTGAAGTGAATATTCAGGTCACCTTTGTTTTATTAAGTTGTAAGCATTACTTTATATATTCCAGATCCAAGTCCTTTGTCATAATTTGTTTTGCAAGTAGTTTCCTCAGTCTGGGGCTTGCATTTTCATTTTCCTGAGAGTAACATTGAAAAGTGAAAGTTTAAAATTTTGATGAAGTCCAATTGACTTATCTTTTTATTGTCATGTTTTTTATGTTATGTTTAAGAAATCCACCAAATCCAAGGCCACTGGGCTTTCTTCTAGAAGTTTTATGGTTATAAGTTTTACACTTATGTCTATGATCAATTTTGAGTTAACTTTGCATATGACTTGAGTTTAGGGTAGAGGTTTGTTGTTGTTGTTATTGCATATGGCTAATTGTTCCAGCACTATTTCCTGAAGAGTTTATCTTGTCCCCATTGAATTGCCTTGGCCAGTTTTGCCATGTGGAACCTAGAAGTCCACTTGGCATCTGGCTTCAGGCAGTTAAGTGGATCTAGGGCTCAAATGATGTCAAAAGTGCTGCCTCTGGCTATCACTCAATGCTGCCTTCTGTGGCTGGTTCACAGGCCAACCTTCCTGTAGAGTCAAGATGGATGTCAGTAGCCCCCGTTCATAGATACTCAGAGCCACTAGGGCTTTCTTTTGGATATTCTGGATATTTGGATATTCTGGCACATGCACATGCACACAGTACACAGACACACCTGTGCACCACACACACATAGGAGCAGCAGGCTGCCTTGCACAGAGCCCAGTTGGAGAGACTGGAAGGCAGGCTGAAGTAAAGGACACTTCACCAAATCAAGGACTCTTCACCAAAAGACTTAATTTTACAAGGTCTACACATAACTGACCATTCCGGATACAAGGGATTGAGTTCTGATGATGGATGTCTGCCCTACCTTGCTTGGGGGTCTGAGTCCGAATGGCCCAAGCAGCCCTTCCACTGTGATGGAAAGCAACTGTCACACCCAGGAGAGGGCTTGAGCAGGCTGGGGATCCCTGGATACTTCCTCATGCTGGGGAGAACCTGAGCTCCACATAAATTGGTACTCTGGGGAGATCACACATTCAGAACCAAGAGGCCTTTGGTTGGCATGTTGTGGCATCACCAGGGAAATGTTAAGATTCCATTAAGTTGGGTAGTGTGCACAGAGCCCTGGTGGGGAGAGCAGATGCAGGTAAAGCCTTTGTGAATGCATGGGGGCAGCATTATGAGATCTGTCCAACCCTAACCACACAGGTACAAGGAGTTGAGCTCTGGATGATCCATGTCTGTCCTTGTGTGGAGGTCTGAGGCTCCAAGGTTCACCTGGACTTTAACTGTGATCCCAAGTCCTCCATGTTAGTGGAAGGCAATTATTACACCCAGAAGGGATGGCTTGAGTTTAAGCGTTGCCCTGATACCTCAGGATGCTGGGGAGTGCTGAGGCAGACTTGCTGCATGCTTGGCTGATCACAAGCCTGCTGGGATGCCACCCTCATGGGTCAGCTTCAGAGAACTGGAGGGAAGAGTCGTCCTGAGTGGAGTGGCAGCCGTAGTGCCACTGCCCCTGCTACATGCTATGGAGTAAATACTGTGGGCCAGAAGCCTTCACGTCTGGAGACCCTACATGTCTGGGCTCCTGACAGCCTGGTTTGCTTATTTTCTGACATTCACAAGTGTTGGCCCAGGAACATGTGTAGCCCATATGTACAGGTTGCATATACATACACACACATACACAATAGCATGTGTGTATATATATATATGTGCACACCTTTGTATAGAAGTTTTTGAGAAAAAGTTTTTTCAACATTTATAAAATCAAGACTCCACATAAAAATGTGGATCTCTCACTCCTCTTGGGAAACCAGAAAATGGAGCAACCATATGTTGATTCCACCATCTCTGACCCCTGTACCTGGGGACAGCCCTGCATCAGTGGCAGCAAAAACCAGCAGATTATGAACATCATGGCCACCATGCTTACCTGGAATATTGGCTGGGCCACAAAAATCCAGGACTACAGAATCTCCCTTCTCTCATTCCCAGGGTTCCTACTTATGCAGTGATGGCCCTGAAGTGAACAGCTCAGGAAGACTACAGGAATCCACGCCACCTTTAGATTATTTGCTCTGGCAGTGAGCAGCACACCACTGGTTGTGCCCATTCTAAAGGGACATCACACTTTTCTAGAGGACAAGACGAGAGTGCAGGACTTTCCAAGACCTGCAGAGCTGAATCTCCTGTAGCCAAGGTCACTGTCAGCAAATTTTGCAAACACTGCAAATGAGGTTGGTTTGTTTTTTTGCAGAGCTGTTGTTTTTTTTTCAGGCTAACCCATATGATGTCACTGAATGTGGAGTTGAGCACAGCCAGCTCTTGTGAGTAGATATGATGGGGCCCACATACAGTACTGGCCGTATCATGTCCATTTGCCACAGTCTCCCCAAATCTCTCACCTCAAGCCCAGTGTTTCTGTGTCCACTTGTGGTTCCACATGGCCCCTGCAGATCTTACATCCAGTGACACCTACCCACATATTCTGGACTTCAGGCACCTTACTCATGAGCAAGTCCCAGGAGACAGTGGCCCCACAACATCACTGGGGAATGTGGGAGAGTCCCAGGAACAAGGGACCAGGAAGAACTGGAGATTGCCACACCAAATACCCAGTTCTCAAAGCTCTGCACCCAACAGGTAGTTCTGGCATCCAGCACACAAGATTTGGCCCAGGAGGCCTTGGACTACAAGACTGCAAACTATTCCTTACCACCCTACTGTCTATGTTGGGGCCCCCCACAAAAGCCCTTCCCCTTCTTTGCACTGTTAGAGCCTAGTTCTGTTCTCAGTCTCTCCTCACACACAAGATGGAGTTCCAGGGTTAAAGATGGTTTTAACAATAAGGCCTTTATCTCTCTATAGAGGCAGGTGGTTCCAGGTTTGGGTGATTTGGAGGCTGAACACATCCAATGCAGGCATCATCTGTAGACTCAACAACGCCCACCAAGAAGGGAAGCCTCCTCTGGAAGTCCTCAGACCCCAGAACCTCCTGCAGAGAAGTAGGTCAGGGTAGTGCCTGAACCACTGAGGACAGGGAAGAAGTAGAAAATGAGGCCACCCCAAAGGGCTCCCATCACTCACGGCTCCCTTCAGGGAGTGAGCAAGCATAAGGTCTTGCCTTCCCTGAGTGTGTTGAGATGACAGGCACATGCATGCCCCTGCCAGCTGGTGGAGGTGAGATGGTGTCTGGCAGTGACATAATCTGGCAAAGCACCTGGACAGGTTAGAAAATGCAGTGCAGCCCCTGAAAGTGTTCCCCATCTCTGGTGCTTGCAGGTCGCTCCCCAGGAGGGGCACTGGCTGTGCAGGTTTCAGTTTCTTGCTGATGGCTTCCTCATAAAAGTTCCCGTCACAGAAGTTTCTCTCGTAAAAGGAGCGAGTCCCTTTATGGTGAACAAGGAGAAAGCCCCTGTCAGTGCTTTATCCCCTTTGTCACACTCCTAAGGCCTTTCTCTGGTATGAGCTTTCTGGTGCTGAGGGAGGCTGGAGCTCCAGCTGAAGGCATTTCTATGTCCACTGCACTGAGAAGGCTCCCTTCCAGTGTGACCTTTCTGGTGCTTAGAGAGGTTTGAGCTGTAGCGGAAAGCTTTTCCGCATTTATTACACTCATAGGGCTTTTCTCCAGTGTGAACTCTCTGGTGCTGACTGAGGATGGAGCTTTCGCTGAAGGCTTTCCCACACTGGCTGCACTCATAAGGCCTTTTTCCAGTGTGAACTTTCCGGTGCTTAACGAGATTAGAGCTGTAGCTGAAGGCTTTCCCGCATTCACTGCACTCATAAGGCCTTTCTCTGGTGTGAACCTTCTGGTGCTGAATGAGGGCAGAGCTTTGACTGAAGGCTTTCCCACACTCAGAGCACTCATAAGGCTTTTCTCCAGTATGAATCCGCTGGTGTGGGACAAGGTTGGAGGGGCAGCTAAAGGCTTTCCCACATTGATTGCACTTATAAGGTCTTTCTCCAGTGTGACTCCTTTGATGCAGAATGAGCTTGGAGGTTTGCCGGAAGGCTTTCCCACACTTGTTGCACTCAAAAGGCCTTTCTGTGTTGTGAACTTTTTGGTGCCGAACAAGATGAGAGCTGTTAATGAAGGCCTTCCCACATTCATTGCACTCATAGGGTCTTTCTCCAGTGTGTATTTTCTGGTGCTCAACAAAGTTGGAGATACAGCTAAAGACTCGCCGGCACCGTCTGCACTCATAGGGCCTTTCTGTGTTGTGAACTTTCTGGTGCCGAGCAACATGGAAGCTGCGAGTGAAGGCCTTCCCGCACTGGCCACACTCATAAGGCCTTTCTCCAGTGTGAACTCTCTGGTGCTGAACAAGTGAGTGTTTGCGGGTGAAAGCTTTCCCACATTCACTGCAACTGTGATGTGTTTTTCCAGTGTGAACTTTCTGATGGGTCCTCAGTTTAAACAGGTCACTGAAGGCCTTCCCACATTCCTTACACACATGGGATGATTCTCCAGTTTGAATTTTTGGGCAATGAATAAGGCTTGATGTCTCTTTGGGGGCATTTCCACCTTTTGGGCATCTAAAGGGTCTCTCTTCAGAGAGAGTTAAGTGGTCAAGGAGCGCGAAGGCCTTCAGGAAGGCCTGCCCGCAGTCGCTGCACTTGAAGGGCTTCTGTGCAGCTTGGACTCCCTGCTGTTGCTGGTGACTGGAGCTGGGTGGGAAGGCCTTGCGCTCGGTGCTCCTGCATGGCTTCCCCCTGCTGTGGGTGGCCTGGTGCTGGAGGAGGTTGTGGCTATCCAGGACAGCCTTACCACACTCCCTGCATGTGAAGGGTTTCTCTCTACTGTGCTCCTTCTGTTGCTGGTGAGAGTTTGCACTGAGCCAGAAACCTATCCCACATGCCTCACACTTGTACAGTTTCTGCCTGGGGTGTACTCCCTGGTGCTCAGCCAGGTGCAATACATCTTTCAAGACTGGACCACACATGTCACAGGTGTTGGCCTTCTGGGTGGAAGGACCTGCCTTAGGGGTCCTGAACTGGAGCACTCCTTCTATAGAAACACCCCACTCAGGAGCGGCATCCTCCACTACACACCAACAACCTGGAAGCAGAGAAATGCTAGTGAGGTGTATGTAGGCTTTGTTGGGAGGGAGCAGCCCTGTCACAGATTGTGATTGTGTCTCACAGATTGAGGAATGAGTCTGTAGGATCAACTCAGGGTGGGAAAGAGCTAACAGTGCAGGAGTGGGCCCAGGAAGGCCACGGAAGGCAAGGCCTCAGCACGTGTGAGAACAGGGGTGGGATTCAGGCTGGTAGAGGCAGGGACTCCAACTCACTCCTCAGCTTTCAGCAGGACCCAATATAGGCAGGCCCAAGGAGATCTCTGAGAGGAGAAGGAGACACAGAGTGGTGTGCACAAGCCCAGGAAAATCCAGTTGCAACTGAGCATCTGGTGCCCAGAGTCTATATGAAGATGTGTGCCCATCTCATGATGCATTCACTGTAGGCTAATGCAGGACGGCCCTGCAAAGGGAGGAGAGGAGGAGAATGGGGGAGACACGGACATCAGAGTGGTGAGATAGTCTGTCATCCAGGGCCCAGGGACAAAGCAGAAATGGCAAGAAGGTGGAGTGTCCAGAATGAAGAAGGAAGGTGCTACTGGCCCCAGCAATAAACACTAGTGGACACAGGGCAGGTGCCCAGTACAGTGTGAGCCCAGCCCCACTGTCACCTCTGCCCCCAGCTCCCACTCACCAGAGCCAGGCTCCCTCCCGGCCTCTCTTGCAATGGCTGGAGACACATCCACCCTGTCAAGCACCCAGGGCTCTTTGCCCTCTCCCAGCTGGGCAGCCACACGGGACTTGGAAGATGCACATCCTGGAGGAAGAAGAGTAGGTCAGTGGCTGGCCCAGCTCAGAGCAACCCGCCATATGACAGACCAAGGGGAGCTTGTGTCATCTTTGCAACTGGGAAGAAAACTCAGTGTTAAAAAAATCTCTGAGCTGGGCCATGTGGTTAAGTTCGTGCGCTCTGCTGCAGGCGGCCCAGTGTTTCATTGGTTTGGATCCTGGGCGCAGACATGGCACTGCTCATCAAACCGCACTGAGGCAGCATCCCACATGCCACAACTAGAAGGATCCACAACGAAGAATATACAACTATGTACCGGGGGTTTGGGGAGAAAAAGGAAAAAATAAAATATTAAAAAAAAAAAAAAGTCTCTGAGGAGCATCTCACAGGAACAGTCCAGTAGTCCCCACAAGCAGCGATGATGTCACTGTTTGCAGTCTGTGGTACAGCCAGGCTCCTGGAAGTGTCTGATAGAAAAAGGGGGCAGAACCTGGGCACTGAGGTGCCACCAATGTGGACAGACTCAGGCAGCCAGACTGAGACTCCTGGCCCTGAGCCTTCCCCAAGAAGGCTTCAGAAGCAGGTACTGGAGCTCCTTAGGGAGAGCAGCAGGCTGTGCCTGCAGCCCAGTCCTGCACACACAGCACGTAGTCCAGGGGAGGAGGCTGCACCAATGCTCAGCTGTGGGAAAACACGCTGCTCCTGGGAGAAGAATAAAGGCAGAACAAGAGGCTGGAAGGGTGGAAGGGCCTTACCCAGCGAGGCCACAAGGGCCAAGTTCTCCAGCATCACATCGCGGTACAGGTGCCTCTGAGCCTCATCAAGGAGCTCCCATTCCTCCTGGGCGAAGTACACAGCCACATCCTCAAAGGTCCCCCAGCCCTGCCAATACGAGGACAGCTAAGTTCACCAGACCAAAGGCGGCAGAAAAACAACACAACGCACAGATGAACCCATCCAGGCCTACGCCCACGACCCCGCATCCTGCCACCTCTCTATGAGCAGTCTCTGCCCCCTAAACCACCCCCCGACACACTCCCAGGTCACCCTCCTCCTCAGCCTCCAATGCCATGGGTGCCACTATCTCCTCATGTCTTATTGACCCGTGTCCTCCTTCAAACAGCAGGCAGGTGGGCAGATAGACGCCATCTAAGCTCTAGACCTGGTATGTAGGGCCCCACTCCCTCCTGCCAGGCAACTCCCCCCTGTCAGGCAACTCCCCTGGGTCCCCAGATCCTGCCTCCCAGAAACACCAAATGGAGGCTCACCGTTCTCCCATAGGCTCCAGTACCAGGACCCCAGTCCATTGATTCACACTGCCTCTGCACCTGCACATCAGTCTTTGTATGGCACATCTCCAGACCCCACCACCATTTTCTGGCCCACACAATGGGTATCTCCCGGCTGCCCCACATGCGACTCTGCAAATGGTGGCCAGAGCCTGGCTACCTCGTGAGGTCAACCAGGAGCCCGTCCTGACCCAGACTTCCAAAAGTCCCAACTGCCAAGGGTGGCACCCAGCCCTTCCTTCGTAGTTTCTCCAACTGGTCCTATTCCTACCTTCAACCCTCAGCCACCCAGACCACACAAGGATCTCAGAGACTTTCAGGCCTCTCTGCCTTTCCCCTTGCTGTCCCCTCACCAGCCACAGCATTCCTTTCTCCTCCTAATGCACATTCAAAGCCCAGTCCCACTACCTCCCACCCTGGGCCTGGGACACTCCCAGCTGACTGTCTGCCATTGAGCTAATCCTCCATCCTCACTGAAACCACCAGGCCCCATAGAGTGGCCAAGGCCAGTAAGTCCATAGAGGGGTGAGCACCAGCCCCTCTAAGGGCTGTCATCTCCCTCTCCAACATGCCTCAGCTTCCGCCCCTGGGACCTTCTGGATCCACCTCTCCCACACACACCTTTCCTCATGGCTGCTCCTCCCTTCATCCAACTTTATCATGCCCACCACTCCTGCCCAGGTACCCAGGCCAGCCACCCAGTGCTCAGCTGCCCCAGTAAGGCACCCATCACCAGGACCTAAAGATGCCCCCTCCTAAACCTGAACCAGGGTTACATCTCTGTTCACAGGCTGGTACTGCCGAATGGATGTCTCCAAGCCAAATCCCTGAACATAACTTAGACCTGCGTGTCCAGCTGCCCGTTCGAGACGTCCACTCGGGAGTCTCAGGATGGTCAAAATCCACCTCCTGATATTCCCTGAAACCTGTTCAACTCACCAACTTCCCCGTCTCTGTGGATGCACTTCCGCCTTCTAGTTGCTGAAGCTAGACTCCCTGGGGACCTCCCTGCCTCCTCCACTTCTCTCTCACCCTCCACATCATAAAAACCTAGTTGGCTTATGGGACAGCCCTGGTGGCCTAAGGGTTAAGTTCGGCACGCTCTGCTTTGGTGGCCCAGGTTTGGTTCCTGGGCTGGACCTACACCACTCGTCTGTCAGTGGCCACGCTGTGGTGGCTCACGTACAAAACAGAGGAAGCTTGACAAGGGATGTTAACTCAGGGTAAATGTTGCCCAGCAGACCAAAAGAAAAAAAAAAAATCTGGCTGGCTTAACTTAAAAGGCGGACCCAAAATCTAACCACTTCTCCCAACTCCAGTCAGCACTCTGACCAAGCCACCATCACTCGCCTGATCTATTACAGTAGCAGCCTTATGGGCCTCCCTTTCTCTTCCCTCGCCCTCACCGCCCCACCCCCCTGTCTGTTTTCCACTCGGCAGCCAGAAGGAGCGTGAACGTGAGTCGGATCCCCTCCCTCCTCTACTCCTAACCTTCCGTGGCTCCCACCACCCTCACATTACAGGCCAACCTCCTCGGGCAGCCATGCCAGGCCTGACTCCTGTCCACCAGACAGAAGGGAGACCTGTGGCTCCCTGAACACTGCTAGCGTTTGCACGCCCTGGTCCCTGTGCCTGAAACAGCTTCCCACACCTCGTCCCACTGGACTCTAGAAATGAGGACCTTTCCACATGGCCCCTGGCTAGGACTCAGGACTTCGGGCTTGGAGTGACCCTAGAGCCTCCGGCAGCCAAGAAAGAGAGGCGAAGGAGGCGGGGGGTCCAGGGACGCCCCCGCCCCCTTCGTGGAGTCTCGCACCGTGTGTGGGGGTCCGAATGAATGAGGCCGCGGGCACCCCCCACTCACCCGCTCCGGGTCCATCAGCGCCGCCGCCATAGGACCCGGGCAAGCCCGCGGCCTCAGCGGGCCCCACACGCCACGGGGCCGGAGCCTGCCCGCCGCCCGAAGCCCGCGGCACTCAGAGCCTCAGCCTCCCCCGTGTAAACGCGCACGGGGGCCAGGCGGGGACGGAGGCGGGGGTCACGGCTCGCGCGAAGGCGCGGACGTCGGCCCCATCCTCCTCACTGTCCTCCCCGGTGGGTCCCGAAGAGGCGCCTGGGAAGCGGCCCTGGCCCAGCGCTCGGGTCCCCAAGGGCGGTAAGGAACGTCCTGTCAAGAGCAAAACGAGCGTCCACAATGGCGACCCCAGAAGTCCCGCCCCTGCCGGCGCGAGCCGCAGGAAATAGCTCTTCTTCTGGGCTGTGATTGGTTTAGAGCCCGCCGCCGTCCCCTGGAGCCTTCTGGCCAATGTAGTTTTTGCCCTGCATCAGGCCCGGCGCTTGGCGCCCTCACGTTCTCCATGGCAACGCCCAAGCGGTACCGCGAGGGGCGCTGGGAAATGGAGACCCGCGAGAAAGAGTAGCAGGGGCGTGTCTTAGCTTCCTCTTAAAGGGGCCGCTCCCAGATTTCCTCCCTCAGAGACGTGCTGCAAGTGTTCTGGGCGTCAGCCTACCAGTGGTAAGGTGGCCCCCTGGGGAACCGCTTCTCTTCTCTGAGGATGTAGAATAACAATAATATCTCCCTCACGGAGACTTTGTTTAGGAACATTAAATGTCTCTCTAATTCAGTGGTCCCCAAACTGTGGTCTCTCAATCAGCATCAGCATCACTGGGGAACTTGCTAGAAATACAAGTTCTCGCAGCCCCCTACACACACACACACACACACACACAGAATCAGAAGCTATGGGGTGAGCCTGAGCACTCTGTGCTTTGACAGGTCTCCTGGGGATTCTGATGGTCACTCAGAATCAACTCTAATTCAAAGCTCAGTGACAAAATTTGGAAAATACTACAATTTTCCTCGTAAGAGGTGACATGAAAAGTGCTTAGTATAGGGCCAGGCACATAGTGCTAAATACATGAGAGAGAGATTATTGTTGTTGTTCTTATCCTCCTCCTTATCATCCCAAGGCTCTCACATACACTGCTAGGGGAGGACAAATAGGAGACGCCTCGCTACAGAGTAATTGCTGACATCGATCAAAATATAAAATGCACTCATCTTTGACTTAGCAAGTAGCCACATAGGCAGCGTTTAATTTTTTGAAGTGTATTCGCATACTGTTGTAGGCGGAATAATGCCGCTCCCCAAGATGCCCAGGTCCTAATCTCCAGAACTTGTAAATATGTTGCATGGCAAGGGGGAACTATCATGTTAGATGGAATTAAGGTTGATAACCAGCTGACCTTGAGATGGAGAGATTATTCTGGGTTATCCAAAGCAGAGGAAACTGTAATAACAGGGGTCCTTAAAAGTGGAAGAGGGATGGGAGCTGGTGCAGTGGCGTAGTGGTTAAGCTCACGCTCTCCGCTTTGGCGGCCTGGGGTTCACAGGTTCAGATCCCAGGCATGGACCTACCTACTGTTTGTCAGACCATGCTGTGGCAGCATCCCACATGCAAAACAGAGGAAGGTGGGCACAGATGATAGCTCAGGGCCAATCTTCCTCACCAAAAAAAAAAAAAAAAAAAAAACCACAAAGTGGGAGAGGAAAGCAGTAGAGACTGAGAGAGGGTCAGAGTGATGCAATGTGAGAAAGACTCAAATTGCCGTTGCTGCCTTTGGAGTTGGAAAGAGCCATGAACCAAGGAATGCTGGAAGCCTCCAGAATCTGGAAAAGGCAAGGGAACAGATTCTCCCCCAGAGTCTCCAGAAGGAATGCAGCACTGCCTACATCTTGATTTTAGAGCGGTTGACACAGCGTCAGACTTCTGACAGTCAAAACTGTGAAATTTTTAATAATTTGTGTTGCGTTTCTTTGCTCTCAAGGGCTCATGTGATGATATTGGACTCATGCAGATAATGCTGGATAACCTTCCCATCTCATGATCCTTAACTTAATCACTTCTGTAAAATCTTCTGTGGAATGTAACATATGAGCAGGATCTGTGGATTAGGATGTGGATATCTTTGAGGGACCGTGATTCTGCCTATCACACTGAACTCATATGGCTATTAGATATTTTTAAGTAGCTTCTGAAATTATAAAATCAGAAGTTTCCACAGAGAAATCTGAAGCTCCAGTTCCTCCCGAAAACACACGCACACACAGAAGATCCAGCAACCCTGTGTTAAATTTCCTGCCTCCCTTCTCCACCCCTGGGTTGGGCCAGTTGTGCCTCAGTGACCTGAGACTGGATAGCCTTGAAGGCCACATCTGCTAAAGTCACCAGGAACCCAGTCTGGGCAACAGAAGCCTCCTTGGTTTTCTGCTGGAGGGTGATGGCTATCAGGAGACGACTCGGAAGAGCTCAGGATGCAGGACAACTTTATTTGTTCAGAGAGTGATCTTGGCCGTGGTAGATACGAGCTTGGCCCCTGTAGGTGTCACAGGCAGTGATCTTGCCTACTTGTCTGTGGTCTCCCCATTCCCTTTGACCTCTACCCCATTGTTCTCCATCCACACATGGTTCTGACCTGGAGGCTTGCCTACACGGACCTGGCTTTCCTGGCCAGGCACAGAAAGATGGCTTCAGCTCAAGCTGGTGGCCACTCTGAGACTCACTTGGGATGAGGGACCTGCTTCCTCATTCTCTCAGTCCACTGTACCCCATCAGATCATCTTCCTCTTAAGGTGAGCTCTGGGCACACAGGTAACTCTGAAATCCAGTCCACAAGTTCTTTCTGTGGAGCCCTCAGTCTGTCCCTGGGCGTCTTGAGGCAGCAATGCCTATTGGACCACAACACGATGGAGGGCCACCATCTGCCCTCCTGCTGCATCTGCAGAGGCAGATGTTACTGTCACCGCTAGAACCCTACCCCTCTGCACTCTGGCAATGGCTCATTTCCATTCCCTGCCTCCCCAGTCACACCTCTAGCTCAAAGGTGAGGTAGTCAACCTGGCCTTTGTTGTCACACAATCTGGAACTGTGGACAGATTTTGGGACCCCTCTCCCTGATCTAAAAGGCAGATCTAGCAAGCAAACCACACAGGCATCAAGTCAGTACAATAAAATCCATGCCGTTCCACGAAGCAGCTGTGCAGGCCATCGTCAGCCTGTGTCAAATGACCTTGCAACCCTACACCTCATGACTGAAGGCGCCAGCCGGACAGATCCACAACAGGAAGAGACAGAGGATACCTCACTCTCACACTTCTCAGCTAAATTTCTCAGAGATTGGGGCACTAATTAATGATCCTGGTCCTTGCCTCCCTCCTCACATAGATAATGTCAGCATCTCTGAACTTGTCTGATGTATAACCAAGAAATTCTTGTTTATGTTACCTTCAATGTATCATCTAGAGAAAAACCCAGAGGTAGTCTCTTTCTTTTTTTTAATCTAGTTGTAAGGTTTTTTTTCTCTTCCTCTTCCCTGCACGTACACTGTTTTGTGAAAGATATATAAGCAGCACAACGCACACACCTCAGAGCAGTTCCATCAGAGCCCTCTGTTGAACTGTTTTGCTGGGGTTCCAATTCCTTGTGCTGATTACTGAATAAATTTTACCAACATCACTAGGCGCTATTTCGGTAGACAGAACTGTCCGAGGTAAAGAAGGGAGTCGTCCCAAGGACATTACGGGTGCCCCATGGAGACATAACCATGCCCATGAAGCAGGCAGTGTCCACTGAGCTGCCAGAAGACACTCTGCGGGTCCCCTTGGCCAGAGTGGGTCAGTTCCCAGCCACCGCACACTTAGGACCCCTATGGCTTCTCCCCGCTGGGGGAGTCAGACCTGTCTGCAGGACTTTCCTTCCCACATGCCCTGTACAGAAAGGGCATCTCCACGAGTGAGAGCTGCAGCCAGGGCTCAGAAGAGGCCCACCCAGCTCCTTCTGCAGCCTGTCTCCACCCAGCTACTTCCGGTGCTGGTGGAGGCTCTGCCTGAACCGGGAGCTGCTTCCGCCTGAGGTGCATCCATGGTGCTCTGCCAGGTGTCTTTGAAGACGTGTGCACACGTGTCACTGAGGTGGGCTTTCTGGTTTTCAGAGGCTGCCTGGTGGTCCTGGGCTGTTTCCCTTACCCACTGGTACAGACACACTCTGCTCAGATGGTACCCCCTCCTCCACTCGTGCCTCATGGTGATGCTGGGGCAGGTTGGGGACTTCTTTACAAGTGTGCGTCTGGCACACCCAGGAGTGATTCCATGGGCTCTGGGGTAGGGCACAGAAACTGAAATTCTCGTGGGGAGAGAGCCCAGCCAGGCCACAGCACAGGCGTGTCCGACCAGGGACTAACCCACAGGATCGGTGTATGTGAGGAGGGCCAGCTTCTCCCATGAGCTTCTCTGCAAATGGGATTCTTCTGGGCTCAGTACTGCTGACAGGAGTGCCAATCTATGTTGAAAGCCAGTGACACCAGGACCCCAAATCTCAAGAGGGAAGAAGTGCCCATCCACCTCTAAAAAAATGACTTTCTGCATTTCAGGATGTGTGAGCCGCGCAGGGAATGTACTGATTTCCTATGGCTGCTGTAACAGATTACCACAAAGTTGTGGCTTAAACAACACAAATTTACTCTCACAGTTCTAGAGGCCAGAATGTGAAATAAACCTCACGGGCTGAAAATCAAGGTGTTGCCACATCGGTTCCTTCTGAGGGTCCATGGAGAATCTGCTTCCTTGCCTTTTCCAGCCTGAGAGGCCGTCCTCCAATCGCTCCAACCTCTCACTTCTGCTGTTGCGTTTCCTACTTCCTTCTTCCTCTCCTGACTCTTTTTTTCCCCACAGAGATTTGTTTTTTCATTGACATTTAATTTTCAGAAAGCAAAGGAACCTAAAACAATTTTTAGGGGAATTTTAGATTATAATACTAGTATTCTTTCTTTTATTGAGGTAAAATATGCATAACATAAAGTTTGCCATTTTAACCATTTTTTAAAATTTTTTTAAAGATTGGCACCTGAGCTAACAACTATTACCAATCTTTTTTTTCCCCCAAATCCCCCCAGTACATAGTTGTATATTTTAGTCATGGGTCCTTCTAGTTGTGGCATGTGGGATGCCACATCAGCGTGGCCTGATGAGTGGTGCCATGTCCTCACCCAGGATCCGAACCAGTGAAACCCCAGGCCGCTGAAGTAGAACGCATGAACTTAACCACTCGGTTACCTGGCCAGCCCCTAAACCTTTTTTTTTTTTTTTTTTTTGAGGAAGATTATCCCTGAGCTAACATCTGCCGCCAGTTCTCCTCTTTTTGCTGAGGAAGACTGGCCCTCAGCTAACATCTCTGCCCATCT